ATTTATGCACACACACACACACACACACACACACGCAAACGCACACACACACACGCACACACACAAACACACACAGTTTAGAACAATATTAAGAGGCGGTATTTTAATTGTAAGGCAAGCTATGCAGAAGCAGCCCCAGAGCAACTTTAATATTTGAAAGTCTAAAAAGCGAGGGGAACAATCAGGATATTACTATAGCTTTTTAAGAGCATCCGAACTAAGGAATGGATGACAAACCAAGATTGCCAATGTCTTCACAGATCTGAAACTTGATGATGATGTATTTGAAAGTGTCTACAAGGACTTTGGTGTATTTGTATTCTATATTTAAAAGTTTCTATAAGGACTCTGCATGGTTGTTGCTATAAGTTCAAAGTTTCTACATGGACTTTCTATGATTATTGTTGTGATGATTGAATGTTTCTAGCAGGACTTTGCATGCTTTTTATTTTGGTTGTGATTCAAAGTTTCTAGTAAGATTTGTAATGTTCTTTGGAAGGACTTTGAATGTTTGCTTTGTTGTAACTGAAAGTTTCTAGAAGGAATTTGAATGTTTTCTGGTTGTATTTGAAAGTTTCCAGTCGACTTTGCATGTTTTCTTTGTTATAACTGAAAGTAACTGAAAGTTTCTAAAAATGACTTTGCATGATTGTTGTTGTATTTGAAAATTTCCAGTCGACTTTGCATGCTGTTGGGTTATTTTTTTGTTGCTGTTGTAATTGAAAGGTTCTGGAAGAACTGTGTATAGCTATGCTTAAACATATGTGAATGCTTTTAAAATTCTACAGAACGTTGCAAGCCCAGCACAGCCAGGTTTGACCTTGACCCCCACCTGGAAGCTTCTAGAAAGACCGTTACAATCCCACCACCCCCATGTTTGACCTTGACCCACCTGGAAGCTGTGCAGCACGGCGACGTTGATCTCCACCAGAGCGCGGTCCTTCCACAGGGAGCTGTTGCTCATGGTGTCCAGGCCTAGCTTCTCCGCTATTGGCTGGGGACGACAGAGACATGGTTTGAGGATGTTTGTTTGTTTATTTGTCTGTATGTTTGTACAGTCCCAGCTTCTCTGCTATTTCCTGAGGACGACAGAGTAATGTTTATTTGTTTATTTGTTTGTTTGTGTGTCTGTTTGTCTGTTTCTCATGGTGTCCAGACCTAGCTTCTGCGCGATTTCCTGAGGACGACAGAGTAATGTTAGGTCTGTTTGTCTGTTTCTTTGTTTGTTTGTTTGTCTGTCTGTCTGTTTGTACAGTTACAGCTTCCCGGCTATTTCAGGAGGACATCAGACGGAGGATGTGAGATCTGTTTGTTTGTTTGTCTATGTGCCTATTTTTCTGTTTGTTCACAATGTGTCTATTTTGTCTACAAGGTTGGGATATTTGTAAACATTGCACGCCCCCCTACCCCACACACAAGCACAAACACATACACACAAACCCGAACACTCACTCACCCTCACAGAAAGCACACATATACAAACAAACACAAATACACAGAAAACACACACAAACAAACAAAAAACACACACTCATAATACATCCACACTCACCCACACAAAGAAACGTACACACACTCATAATACACACACACATGCGCACACACAAATAAACACTCACCCTCACACACTCACCCACAAAAAACCCACACAAACCTAACCCACAAACCCTGCTCACCTCCAACAAGTTGTACCTGGCGACGTCACAGAAGTCCCGTGAGCCAATCTCTGTGCCCATGTACCAGCCGTTGAACGGGCTGGCGGGGAACTCAATACCCCCCACATCCAACGCCATGTTGGCGATAGCAGGGAGGGCGAACCACTTGAGGTCCAGCTCAGCCAGCTTCTTATTACTGGTTAGAATAGTTCAGGG